TTAACAAAATGCACTACGCTAAAAGCTAGTGTAAAGATCTTTCGAGCGTTTTGAGTTTGAGAGAATGAAAGTTATGAGAGAGATTAGAAAGCTACGAAAACTAATCCATGAGAGAGATCGTTGTGAAGCTCATTGAAGTTGGTCTCCCGCGGGAGGCCTCGAAGTGTGATATCGTAGGTTATGGTAATAACTCTACGTACTCCACGGTCCATTTCCGGAACACATGGAAACTTCAGCTAGTAGCTGTCTAGTAGCGTGGAAGCTTTCCACGCCGGCTAAATATCTAGAGCGATGTTCCATCGACAACCTAGTATGACTAGTAGTCATGAGAACCCTGTCTCAATGACTATTCGCGAAGGACTACGTCATGAGTCAAACTCAAACCCTATCTAGGATCGAGTCGCGAATAAGGCTAAGAGCCGTGTATTGCAGTCTGATGATTGGTCCAGAAATTGTTCCAGAGGTGGGTTCAGATGTTGGTTCTGGTGATGAATTCAGTGTTACCATAGCAACGCAGGCCCTGAAGTTGGCCCATCGGTTGATCCAGGAGTGTGTTGAGAAGTTAGTCCTGACTGGTGATGGATCTGGTGTTGGGCCAGGTGGAGAGGATTCTAGCTTTAGTCAAGAAGGGGTGGAACTAGGAGTTCATAGATCCTGAAAATCGACCAGGGGTGCTGGGACCTGGAGTGGTCCTGGTCCAAGATTGTGTTCACTGTTTGTAGTAGCAGTATGGACACGGCCCGAACTGTTGACTTTCATTTCGTTGAAGTCTCCACTGATCTTGGCTGTGACAAGCAAAGGGATTGGTTGTACTGGTAGTGCGAAGGCTTCTCGACGACAGGATCAATGATGGTCTCTGAGCTACAAAATTGGATCGGAATGATAATGAAAGAAGAGCTGTTGTTGTTGTGGTAATTTTTGTTGATTTTACCAACAGGTTGAGAGAGAAGGTTTCTGTCGATATCTAGCATGGATTTGTCCCGTTCAAAATTGTTCTTGACTGGGACGGGGCCAATCATAGTTGGAGGAGTAATAGCACCGTCATCTTTGTCGTGTCCTTCGCTGTTTGGGTCTCCATCAAGGTCTCAATCATAGAACTTGCTGTATTTGTTTGGGCTCTCCAATAGGTGCTTTGGACGCAGGCAAAATTAGTACGGTAGTAGCATGTAGTAGCATAGACTAGCCAAAATTTGTTGTCCGCAGGATTTTAAAAATGGGCTGCCTGGATTAGACAGGTGTTGATTGTCTGTCATCGGAAGCACCTCAAGTCCAGTCAACTTGATGGACTGCTTCAAACAACGTACTACTGGCTGCTCGTGACGTTGGCAATGAAAAGGAGAGTATTACGTTGCCGGGGATAGGAAACTGTGGTTGTCAACGTTTCACTTGCATCGGCAATGTGACCATCATTAATTGTAGCCGGTCAACTCCACACAAGTGCCTCGAGGTAGGTGAGTGACAGCGAGCAGAGGTGTCGGCTCTGTTCCTTCATCGATCGTCAACCAAAGGCGGTGTGATTTGGTGGTATTCCACGCTTGTTGACCAGTGAAGTTGCGCCCATTGTTGGCGACGTTGGGACATTTCTTGTTGATGACGATTCTAGAGAGCCAAAGAGACATAGGAAATGGAAAAAAGTTGTGATTTCCGCTGCGATTGATTGACCAAGGTTGACTCCTGCCTCAATCGGGGGACAGTTGTAGACTTTTCTTTTCCATCGAAGATGGGCCCTTTCATCATGTTGTCGAAGATCACATGTGGCTTGCACGATACGGTCGGCGTCGGTAATGCCGGCACTGTAGTCGTTGGAAAGCACTTAGTTTGTCGGGTTTCCATGTCCATTGTGGTCACTCAGTGGAGAATTTAAACAGCAGCATACTCCTTGTCATAGTCGACTGAAATTGTTGTTGTTCTTGCGAGTTACTCTCCTTTCGTGTTGCTCGTTGGCAACTGCATGGCTTCTGGAGGAGTGGATCCATTACATACATGCGTTGTCCATCGGGATTGGTAAAGATCTGACTTGGATCGTGCAATCGAATTAATGGTTGGAATTGGTTTGCCGTCTCAGCTTGGAACAACACTCCGAACAATTTACTTCCCTTGACAGCCGTTCAACACCAAATGAATGGGGTGTTGGGGAACATGCGGCAATGATATTTAAAGCCTCGACTGGTTGTTTTCTGCCTCCACGGACTTGATGAACCCACGGGAACTTCTTCAGCCAATCAACGCTATGCTGAGTTACGATCTATCGTACGTACGACTAGTCACTGGAGGACTTGTGCATAAAGGAAAATGGGTACCAACAGCTGTACCAAGAACACAGGAATCACCACCAAAACACCAGGAAATAACAAGGTGGGATGAATCCAACAGAGGATCCACTTTCCTCTGTGCATGCAAGTTGTCGTATAGCGGAGGTCCTTCTCTGGTTGACTACCTCTCCTTCTGTTTGTTATCTATAGCGATCGATCGAAAAGGACTCGACAATAGTATTTCGGTGTTTCTTTGACCGTCAGCAGTAAGAGAATATCAAGTAAGGAATATGGTTTTCTCTTCTATTCTGATACTGCAGAAAACCAGCGACTTGCTCTTGTTTTTAAACTTCCACCACCTTGACCGTCATGGGCCAAGAACTGACCGCCATCCCATGGTCCATAGAATTCAATGAGAGATGGTTTTCGAATCTACACCGGAGACTGTGGGATTGATTGATGCTTGATACCAGTACCAGCACCAGTATAACAGCCGTGCCAGTATCAGGTACCTGTAGTAGAGGTGCAACTTCATTTCTTTGATGGTATGGTAGAGGTCTGACCTCATTTTTTTGTTTATTGATGCCAATGGCAAAAGGGCAGCACTCTTGTTGGTCAAGCTAGGATTTTTCTCCTGTTTACCGCTAGCATTCAATGAGGGAGAGAAGTCAGTGCTGCGCCTTAGCAATAGTAGCAGTAGTGATCGATCCATGGACTGAGGATGTCAGCATTGTGTTGGTGTTGTCATCATTCAGCCAAGCTGCTGGTGCTGAATGGTAGCAGTGGTACCACCGGTGGTAGTAGCAAAGGAGGACTTCAGCTCCAGGAGGGCCTCCGGTTTACGTGGCTTTTGGCGATCCCACCCGAATAGCAGTCGCGTGAGTGCACTCGCGACAACAGTCGTGCGCAATCGCGAGCAATCGCGAGCAATTGCGAGCAATTGCGTGCAATTGCGTGCAATTGCGTATAAAGTCACGGGGAGACGCGTGGAGTCGCATGGAATCGCGAAACCATATCTGGACAAATACAAGTATTTAAGAAATGAGTCGCAAGGAGTCGCGTGGAGTCGCGTGGAATCGTAAAGACTCGCTCAAAAACCCGCGTGGAGTCGCACGACTTTAAGCGACTATTCGCGACTTCTCGCGACTCGCCAAAAGTTGGGGTTTATCGTGACGTCATCTGGGGATTACCGGCGGCCCTCCAGATTTGCCCCTGCAGCATGACCCTGTGATGAGAAGTCCTCGTGGACCTTGGTAGCAATTCTACCCAGTGAAAAAGGGCAGCTATTGGTCCCCGTAAAAACACAAATCTTTGGAAGACCTGGAGAGGGTTGGCGATTGTCGAATATTGATCAATCCACCTTGAGTGCGAACGATGTACCTGGTACCTGGAAGGCCCCAGGTTTAGGGCTGAATTTGGCTTGAATCCATCAAAGTCGCGGTAGTGCAAAAGTCGCGATAGTCGCGTACCGCGACTTTAGAACGACTATAAAAGTCGCGATAGTCGCGCACCGCGACTTAACAACGACTTCTCCGTGTTATTTACTAGTTAAGCATCGCGACTTTAGAACGACTATAAAAGTCGTGATAGTCGCGCACAGCGACTATAGAACGACTATTAAAGTCGCGATAGTCGCGAACCGCGACTTAACAACGACTTTACCACGACTATCGCGACTACGGCCACTTTGTAGAAGTTTGTATGTGGATCCTCGCTGAAACCTGTTGCCTTCCTGGTAGCTATCATAGCTGGCTAGCTGGCTAGTGGTCTGGAGCTAAATGTACCAGCCTTTAAAAAAACAATTGATGGCCAAAAGGCACTTCCCTGCCAAAGAGAAGCATCTGGGTGTTTGGGGGAATACTCTAAATTCCGTGTGCTCTGTACTACTAGTATGCATATGTGTACAGGAGCTTTGTACTGGTACCAGTACAGGCATCCAGATGTATTAATAGCCACTCGCCAAATGCCACCAGCCCGGGAGTAGAGGCTTTTACGAGTACGCTTTTACCTACTGGAACATATATATAGCTGTCTACAGTACTAATTTACACAGCATGTGCACCCAAGATCTCGGGGAAACGATAAAAAGCGTTATACTCCACAAGAGTTTCCTCTTTGTCACAATGAAACAGTACTCGTAATCATTCATGTGTGAATGATCTAACGCTTCAAGACGCCTCTCAGAAAAAGACAGGGCAATAAATGACTCGTAAGATCTTAGTTGTACAGCTGACCAATAAATGTGGCAACCAATTCCAAACTAGCTGGTCAAACTGCTGGTCAACCTGCTGGTCAGTCATAGCTGTCCTATTTTGGAGCTCTTTATTGAGCAGTTACTGTGTACTCCAGAGTACCTACTGAGTAAGCCGCAGCTGAGACATCTGAATCAAGAAGGCAAGAACCCTTTCTTAACGCTTGCTACCATAAGAGGTTCGCTCACAAGTTCCCAGATGACATCGGAGCGTTAACTACTGTACGACACATTAAGTACCAGCACTTGCAGGAGAGACAAGCCTATCTCTGCAGCGGCAAAGAAAGACACCTAGTTAGTACATGTAGGAGGTACCATTCAGTAGCTGGCCTGGCCTGTTGGTGAACTCTCTCGAGCTCTGGTGTACAGCTCACGCTGTTGTACTCACCACTGCCCTCGGTTTTTCCAATTGGCTGTCCAGGGACATGGTACGCCTCCGTAGCTAGCTGGCAAGCAGTTAATTTTGAGCTGCGGCTGGAGGAAGCTAGCTAGACAATGGCATTCAATACAATTGGTTTATATCATTAGAAAAATTTGAATAGAAGTAGTGTTATCTTGGAGGTGGGATGCTGGAGCGTCTGCCAATCCACAACAGACAGACGTAGCTGGAAAGAGAAAGTAAGAATCATCAAAAGCGTATCATAGTGTCGTGTTGGATGGTTTGAAGGGATCTATGTATGTTGGAGGACGGTTGGATTGATCAGACGAAGGCTGGCTGCCTATGCTGCCGCAGCGGGCCATTCGTTGCCGGGAGGAGAGACAAGGTCTTGCTGGTGAATAACTCGTCGAACATTGAGTAGAACTAGGGCGTCTAGAACGCATCGCAAACCGCTTTCGTTGCCAATCTTGGAATAGATATCGGCAAGGTTCTTGAGTGCCTCCACCGTGACTTCTTCCGCGTGGGCAAAGCAATTGCCGACCGCGGACAAGAGCTCGAGGCTGTGTTCGTAGAGCAGAGAAGCTCTGTGGAGGCACATTTCGTCTCTGAGCCAGGATCCCTTCTGATGCAGACCAAGAGCAAGATTAAACAACAAGACGGCGCTTTCCGCAGAGCAGGCTTCGTAGGACTGGGCGGCCTCTCCACAGGTCATGTAGAAGGCATGGCGGTGGGTGTTGGAAGGGCTCAGCACAACAGGATTCGATTTGTAAATGTTGATTCGCAGAGGTTGCGCTCCGTTCCGCGTTCCAGTGCTGGCTGAGCCGTCATCGCAGGCAGCCGATAATATGGACAGAGCCGATTTGAAGCAACTCAGTGCTTCGGAGTGCGTAACCGGCGCTTGATGGGCTGCTGAAAGGTAATTGACCCCTTGGTGGTTGAGTTCCGCTGTGCGCTGCATGAAATCCATCTTGATTGCAATAATGAAGCTAGGTGAAGAATAGTAGGAGGGGGTGCAACACTCTGTAGAAATTTTTGATTGTGAGTTGTCATGAGTTGAAATAAGTTGCTTTGATTCGATTCTGCTAAAGATCGAAAAAAGGAGGAGAAAGCAAAGGTCACTCAACCCCTGAGAGAGAAACTCCCACAGTCCGCTCAGGAGCAAGCGTGACGAATCATGGAAAACTAGACAAAAAGCTGTGCATGATTGACCACAGAACCGAAGCTGTGATGGTAGGATCGCGATTTAACATCTTTAGCTTGAAGTTTCAACATATGACCCAGCACGAATAACAAAGAAAGCCAGTTAAACTCATTTCTTACTTGCTCGCTTGCTCGGTGTATTGTGATACCGCCGATAGCCACAACGCGGATCAAAAATAAATAATGGTACATACAGACTGTACCGGTGGTACCAGTTACATGTAGCATCGGGGAGGCCTGTCTAATTATTTTAGATTACGTTGGATTGATAGAGATAGAGGTAGCAAACAGATTTTTCCAGACTCACTCAAGCTACAAGCTAGGTAGCAGTGGGCAAAGGGAAAGCATCATCAGGAGCATCTACCACAGGTCGAGATAGCAGAATTACTAAGCAAAGCCTTTGCTACGGTAGAACTAAGCTTTGCTAACCAGCTGCAGCCACATGCTTCCTCCTTGGATAGTGGCTGTGAAGGAGAGTTGCATTGCCAGATGTGAACAGCAGATAACCCTGTGCGGTTACCGACGGCAACTGCCTTTGGCGAGCTTCCGCCACCAGTCTCCGAAGGCTTTGGCTCGATGCTGTGACATCTATCTCCTTTGCATTTGTATGCATTTAGCTACTCCAGCAATAGCTACCACATGTAGTAGCAATAGCTACCACATGTAGCACTCCAGGAGTTGCATAATTCCTAGCTTACTGTATAGCTCATGTACTGATACTACACGTACCAATACATTCCGGAGGGATGGAGGTTGCGGTGTCCTGTTGGTCGTGCCCCTTGAGTCGGCCATCACAAACCAATGGCCTGCTAGACTAGCTAGCTAGCTAGGTTCCCGGTTCATGTACTAGTAGTAGGTTTCCGAGTGTTACCAAAACATGTGGCACGGTACCCGCACATGCCAGTCTCGACAAGCTGTCATTGTTTCTGAGCAACCCAACAATAGCTCAATAATGCACGGGTCCCGGAAACGAGAAGAAGCCTCGCTGATGGCTGATGGCCCGACACACTCCAGAGCATTATGCTTCATTGCAGTACTGTACTAGCTACCGTAGTACTGGGAAGAACCTCAAGGAAGTTGTCAGCCGGTTGATCGCGAGGGGGAAATGGTGGCTACTGTCTACAGTAGGAAGATGATGATAGCGCGATACCTATTGCCTCTACGCTCTACGGCGCTCCATTTCCACTACAAGCTGCTAGCTACGTGCCAGGTAGCTAGCTAGCTAGTAGCTACTAGTTGCCTCGGAGTGTTGTGGCGACTGCAGTCCGCAAGTGCGGACAATGACGCTTGTTACGGCGAAGGCCACAACTTTGGCTACAGGCGAGCAATCCAATGGCCACCAGCCGGAAAATGAAAGCAGACACATAGCGCTAGCCGCCGGTACAATCGCATTGAATATTGGTCTAGTGGTTATAGAGCTATCGCCGTTGACATCATGGCCATTGTGTTGGTTGAATTGTGTTGTCTGCAAGTGCGGACCAAATAAAGTTAACACAAAAATCCCACTTTTCGCCAAAATAGAGTGCTGGTCAACCGAAAACCAATGGACGCAGATTGTTGGATGCAACCCTATAAGAAGCAGCCGCCGTTGTTGTTGTTGTTGTTGTTGTTGTTGTTGTTGTTGTTGTTGTTGTTGTTGTTGTTGTTGTTGTTGTTGTTACCGTTCAAGCACCACCAATGAGGATGGTTCGCCGCTTCTTCTCTGCAAGCTTGACAGCCTCTGCCATAATGTGTCCACCAGATAACGTCATGGTGATCTGAATCCGCTTGATGCCAAACATATTTGGAGGAAACTCGAGCGTAACGACTTTACCAAGACGATTCTTGCTCAAGAGAGTTGCGTCCAAATCGACTTCTTCATCCTTTGAATCGGACTTCCACTTGCACGTAATGGGAATCCGAATGCTCTCAAAGTAGACAGCATCACTGACTCTGAGCCCATCTAAGGAGATTCGATGGGCTTCAAGCAGGAATCGAAAGCGAGGAATGCACTTCTTCTTGTCGTGACGCTCTTGCAACGTGATCCGTCCCTTGGAATGATGCTTGGAGCCAATATACATCTCCCAGCGAACAGATGCCATGGCATGGGCTTGTCGAGGACGCTCGCTATCTGGCTTGGCACAGATGGGCCTTGGAACTCCCTCTCCGTTGGTGGAATGGGGCACTTCAACTGCTGTCCAGAACTGCATCGTGGAAAATATGAGCCAGATGGCTATTGCGGATCCGAGGCTGTTGCGGAGTTGTGGATTTGGCATCATTTGAATCGGTGTGCCCGCCAAACAGAGAGTCTTTGAATCGTTGTGTGGAATGTTTCTTCCATGTGCAAGAAATTTCGATGGCTCCGACCGCTCGGACTGACAGGCAAAGTTTTGGTGTGAAGAAAGAAGCAAGTATCGGTGAGCAGCATCACACAAAACGAAGCAAGCCAAGGAACAAAGCACAGCTTACCATCATGTCTACCAACAAGTCCAACGAGAAACCGATCAAAATGGCCATGTCCCTCGAAGGGGCCAAGTCTGTCAAGATTGAAGAGGATGATGCCATCATTTTCACCATGGAGCACGGCCCTCCCATCGAACTCAGGTTTGTGATGCCGTCTGTCCACAACGATCAACAAGCCCCCTACGAAACACCAATGGCAAAGTCTGGGCCGGGAGCCAAGCCCAAGGTTGGATTCTTCAGTCCAGAGAGTACCAAAACCGCCAAGAGCAACAAGAGCGACGTTCACATGGCGTCTCCTCCTCCCTTCATGTCTCCTGCCGACAGCAGCATGGGATCGCCCTCTCCATTCAAACAGACCGGAGGTCCTCGCGTTTACGATGCCTATGACCAGGGCTTGACTCAAGAGACTACTCTCCTCGACACTGATTCGCTCTGCTTGGATTGCGAAGAAAACCCCAAGAAGTCAGTCTCTGAGATGCTTGCTGCCTTTGATCTTGATGAGTAAGTGGAAGCCCCATAGGCCGGGTAAGTATCATGGTAACCCGTCGAAATGAACAACAGTGAACGCCATCGTGAAAGCTGAATATTGAACCAAATGAAAAGTAATCCGCTGCAAAGAAGTAGACTGTAATTCTATTAAACGAATCTTGCGCGAAAAAGTTTTCCTTATATACAGCCACGAATATAGAATAATGACGTCATACGGATTTTCTTTAACGAATTTTGCTGCCATCCCTCCATCCACCACTGAAAGCAAATTCGATATTTCGGATTGATATCCAACACGGATACTTTTTTATTGGTTCCGAGTGGTGCGCCTTAGATGTCAACCACATGGAAGCGCAAAGGCGACGGCGAACCCAAGAAGTCTCCTCGAGCTTTTGAGAGAGGACAAGATGATGTGTGGATGTGTGTCAACGGATCGATGCGGCGTTACGGAGGCGCTGATAGGCTGAGAGGCAGTGTCGATCGGTCGAACGATCGGACCACACTTTCGCCTTTCGCCTTTTGTATTCCGTATTCGACGATCGACGATGGTGACTCGTCGATTCGGCAAGGGTGTCAGAGTTATCATCAAAGCCGGCAGCCTTCCTGCGGTTATCAAGGAAGCAACTGGTGAGA